ACCCTTATAGAAACTAACCGGGAATCAAGTGTCGGGACAGTTTACAGAGTCTTTGTCGGACCATGAAGGAGCTAACCGGAATCAATGTCGGGACAGTTTACAGAGTCTTGTCGGACCCTTAAAGGAGCTTAACCGGAATCAATTGTCGGGACAGTTTACAGAGTCTTGTCGGACCCATTAAAGGGAGCTAACCGGAATCAATGGTCGGGACAGTTTACAGAGTCTTGTCGGACCCTTATTAGAAACTAACCGGAATCAATGTCGGGACAGTTTTACAGAGTCTTGTCGGACCCATAAAGGAGCTATACCGGAATCAATGTCGGGACAGTTACAGAGTCTTGTCGGACCCATAAAGAGCTAACCGGAATCAATGTCGGGACAGGTTACAGAGTCTTGTCGGGAACCCTAAAATAATACACTGTAAGATGTGTAATATAGGCTGCCCAAATATATAGATATATGGATATATATAGTGAGCCCTCAAAAGTGCCGCGAACCTCTTAAAAAGGCGCGCCCACTTTATCAAAAGATGTGCCATCAAAAGGCGTGCCCAATTCATCAAAAGGTGTGCCAGACATGATGGCGAGGCACGTGGGCGCCTTGGCTTGCGTGCCCGTTTGTCGGCTGGTGATAAGAGGCGCGCGATGCGCGTGGCTGCCTCGGCTATAAGACAGAGGCTGAGGCTGAGGCATACCATCTGAAACTCTGAAAACCAACCCTTCGTGAAAAAAACTCTGCCTCTGCGGAGAGAGAAACTGTTGGTAAACACTTTGTTTGCCATTCGTCACACCCTCGAACATTATCCAATCTGAAATTGCTATTTCGCTGAAACACTTGCAACCCAAAAACATGGCCTCTTTTTCCCGTCCAGCTACCCAGAACCTGCTCACGCTCTTTCCAGAACTGAACGAGCCCACAAGTGAAATAACTGGTGCGGTGGCCAGTGAACCTCAACCAAACACCCTCGGTTTTGCTCCTTGAACTTTCCGATGCGGTCGGTGGAGCAAAAAATGGCGGTGCAATGATATTGAGGCAATCAGTATACTTGAACATGCGTGGAACCATGACGGCGGTCACAATTTTGTCGAACCGGCTGCAGAGTAGGACAAATGAGGTGCAGCATTTAACCAGCTGGCTCTGCTCCAACGCATGTATAAGGATGCGCGAGCAGAGATAAGTGTGCTAAAGCAGAAAATAAGGAACTGAAGCGGAAGGCCACCGTGATGTTCCGATTTGGAGGGCCGCCATATTGCTGCAGTGGAGGAGCAGGGAGTAGTGATCGTGCCGTGGAGTGGAAACACGGAGGCAACACCGGCAAGGGCCACCCAGGACGGAGGCAAGAAGAAAAGACGCGGCTAGAGTAAGAAAGAAAATCCTGCCTGTGGATGTGGTTGAGGTTTTTTTGTTTTTTTTTTTTTTTTTTTTTTTTTGTTTTGGTGGTGTAAAAAGTGTGATCGGGTTGAGCCCCTGACATGAATAAAATGACAAGATGGTGGAATGTTGTTGGTGTGATTTTGTGAATGCTGTTTTGTGTAATAAGAAAAATAAAATAAAATAAAATAAAATAATGGATAAAGAAAATAGAGAATGTTTTTTTTTTTAATTAATAATAATAATATATATGAATGGCAAAAACATGTGCCCTGGTGGGAACAGCGGAGTGTGTGAAAAGAAGGAAAAAGAAAAAGTATGAAGTGGAGAATCGGAAAAAAGGAGAGGAAAAGGAAGTGGAACATGATGACATATACAGGCGTGTGTAATTCAGATTCCTTCACTTGAATTAAATATCATCCACTGCCGTTGAGAGAGAGAGAGAGAGAAGAAGTGGGGTGGGTGTGTGTGGGGTTAAAGAAATAAAAGAAAAATGGGTGTGATTTGGGCGGTGAATTGGGTGTGATGAAACAATGTGTTTATGTGTGTATGATAGGAGAGAGAGATTGGAAATGGAGACTTGGGAATCGGATAAAGTTCGGCCATCCTCCAATTGCTTTCCGGCGAAGATCAGACGCTGCTGATCCGGAGGAATCCCTTCCTTATCCTGAATTTTAGCCGTCACGTTATCGAGCGTATCGGAGCTCTCCACCTCCAGCGTAATCGTCTTGCCAGTTAGGGTTTGCACGAAGATCTGCATACCACCACGAAGCCTCAGATCCAGATGGAGAGTCGATTCCTTCTGGATGTTGTAATCGGCGAGGGTACGACCGTCCTCGAGCTGTTTTCCGACCGTCCTCGAGCTGTTTTCCGGCGAAGATCAAGCGCAAGATCAAGCGCTGTTGATCCGGCGGAACAGCTGCTGTGTGAGGCACATAAGTTGCGTGCCTTGCAGGATTCACAGCAATGTAATCCATCACGGACATGTCACTGATTTGAACTTCGTCGAAGGACCATCTATTGAAGAGTTTCACATCACTGGGAACCTGGTTTGCCTGTTCCTTCTGATTGGCAACTGCAACAATTGGTGGATCTGCGATAGTTGCCTCCATTTCTGTTTCAACTGTGATGGGGAGAGAGAGGTGCGGCTGGAGAGCGGAAGGTATGTGTAGAAAATTCCAGCGGGCAGCAAAGGCAAAGTTGCCGGCCGGCTGCCCGCCGGTGAAAAAAAAATACAGGTTTAAATCTTATAGCTCTGATACCATGTAGAAAAAATAAACTGATGTATTATTGATTGATATATTGATGTATTACAAGATTGATAAATTACAATTCCTATACAATCTATATATAGAAGAAAATGTGGTAGTAGGTGTAGTGGAGGTGATAGTGGGTTAGGTGAAGTGGAGTGTGTGGTGAAGTGGAGGTAGGTGAAGTGGAGTGTGTAGTGGAGTAGGTGAAGGTAAAGATGGGAAATTCTAACAAAAACTATATTCTAACTTGATCGTCAGAAGGTTTTCTCAACCAACTCTGGTCAGGAGAGATCATTGACATCTTGGTATTTTTCCTACAGTGCACAGGAAGGAGCAGCTCATCTCGATTTTCCTGGGGAGAAAATTTCATCCTTTCACACTTCTTAAAATAAAGATTATTTCTCATCTACATGTTTCTGATTAAATTTTGAATATATTTTTCTAAATTTATACTCCCTTCGTCCCAAAATATTAGTCCCTTATTCCATTTTTTATTGTCCCAAAATATTAGTCCCTCTTCAAAAATCAAGTACCAAAATAATATAAATTTTTTATTTTGCCCTTCTTTTAAATTAATAAGTAATATAAAAAGTACAATTATGACATTGATATTTCCAAAAAATGTACTATCAAAAGGGTAATTTTGAAAAATTAACTTTTTAAAAATCCAATAATTGTACTGCCAAAAAAAGTTAGATTCCCCAAAAGGGACCATTATTTTGAGACAGAGGGAGTAGTATCCTTCTTTCCTAATGGGAAAGTGCCACAACCTAGCCATAAATTGAAACAATTATCCTAACACAAACCCATCCATCCACCACACCGGTTTACCTCCCTCCACCCATTATTCTACATGTCACACTTCCTCCTCTAGCTTTAGTTTTTGGTGGAACTGTTTGAATTTTTGTTTTACAGTGATTGAAGCCAAATTATGATTGGATTTTTGTTTTAGCTTTAGTTTTTGTTTTAAGGATCAAAGTGAGAATATTTTCTTTAAAGAGAATAATATGTTAAGGGTAAAAGTATAATTTAGCTAAATGTAAACTACTAAGTTCAATCAAATAGTTGTGTCATGTATACACATTTTTTTGTAGCTCCAGTTACTCTATGGTTTTGGAAATTTCAAAATAGTTTTTGAGTTTTTAATTTTTAAAGAATTTTTTTAAAAAAATTAATAATTTTTTTTTTTTTAGATTCACTTAATCTAGGTACACTTCAAATGTACAAAATTTATATTTTTAAAAAAAAAAACTAGATATATAAAATAGTACATTTTCATTTTTTTTTAAAATTTTTTATGTTTATTGAATTTTTTTTAAATTTCTTCACAAATATTTTACTTTTTAAATACATTTAGATTATATGCATCCAAAAAAATGATTAGAATATAAAAATAAAAAAGTTAATTAAAGACAACAAAATAAAAAAAAAATACTTTTGAAAATTTAAAACCAAATAGAGTGAATAATTTTTATTTTTAAGCCAATAGTATGAGAGGAGATGATGGCCCAAATCCAACAAACATATGATTCATATACAGTCTTAAACGGTGGTGCAACATGCACCAATTAATGTACACACTAGTGTACCGACCAGTGTTAAGTCATTATTACTAACCCCACCTATTATACAAATTACAAATATCTAAAACCTCTAAAATTATGTCACATCATCTATTAGTATACTATTTAATACATTAATTAATACATATAGCATTATTCTAAAAATTATTTCGGAGATCAAAACATGCATTCCATTCAAGCAAGCATTCAATAGATCCATTGAACATGTTGGGCTAATTAACCGATCTATATATACAAATGCCGGCACTGGTGGTCCAAATACAGCAATTAGACTTTGAAACTCTTACAGTGCTAAAAACAAAGACAATTAATGAGTACCAACAGTGTTCAAAACATAGCGGTGAAGAATCAGCAGGTCGTAATCATGGTGGAAGACGAAGCACATTCCCAGAATAACTATCACCCCATGTAGTTCTAATTACCATATAGCACCATTTGGTAGTTTAAAGCTTGTATTAGTAGAGATTTACAGTACCATATATCCAATTATCAATCATGCTCTACAAATTCACAAAGCAGACACAATTCAAGCTAATACATTGCCAAAAGAGGCCAGATAGTAGAAGGGGAAGCATCTGAAGAGCAACCACAATAAGGTTTAATTACATCAGATGGATTAACTAGTTATGAGTATCTAAATACCAAAATACATAGAAGCTAATGATAATTTACAATACACCATATACATTTAGATAAAAAAAAATACATGATCCGTCTATAGTTTGATTGTACACTAGCTGCCACCTACCTGAAACCACTGCAGATGTCCCTGAAGCTATCAATCAACAGACATTAAAATGATTGAATCAGAATACAATGGTTACATCTGCATTTATCAAAATTACTAAATAGTGAACTCTGAAGATATTAAAAATGAGCACTACTGAAAATGGCTGTCGATTTAGAGAACAATATAGGAATTTCCACATACCTACAAGGATTAATAACAGCTCCAATTCAGACAAAGTCTAACATGAAGCTATATTCATAAACAGCACAAATGAATGTCAAGCTCAAGTTCCTAAACTTCATAAAACTATCTAAATTGCAAGTCATATCCTTCTTTGTGAGAAAGCTAAAAAAAGGAACAGTAAAAAAAATCTCAAGAGAAACTAGATACAAATACACTCAGGAAAATCTACATGTTAGTATATTTGATTTTTTAACAAGCATCAACAAGGTAATAACCCTGAGATTTTTCAGTCAATGATTTCAGGTTTTCTCTTATTTTCTCCAGTTTTCTGGTAACCAGAACAAAATTTTCAGACTAAAATTTCTATTAACTAGTTATAGCTTTTTTCCAGTGGGACATAGGCCATGATGCTAACATGACAACTACAAGCCCATCAAAGGCATAATTCAGAGTTAGACTTAGATCAGTAAAGCAAAATTACTTCCACAAACTATAAGGATTAGCATAGACACAAGCAAAATATACCTGCATTCCACTCTCAAAAAATAATACAAGTTCAACAGTGCAATTGCCGTAGCATCACCAAAAAAGGACATTACTGCTCATTCTTATAACAGGTAATCATGAGGCTAACATGACAAGTACCTGTGGCTGACAGGAAGTAGATAAATCAAGGATAGTGTTGCATAATTAGAGAATGATTTAGACAGATATACACGCAGACACAACTATGTTTCCCTTGCTTCTAACAAAATTCATCTGTGCAATGGTAGGGAAAATGACCCTAAGCCTTCAGTGGCACACACTGTTGAGCATGCAGTTCAGTGCATCCTATCAATGGAATTGTATCTTTTGATCCTCTTTATTTCTCTGTTAACTAACCTCCACACCATCCTTGTTTCAGTTACCCCACTTTTTCAAAATCCTTAAAAAGTGGAATATAATGGAATTCCCACCATATCCTTACTTCACAGGAAAACAAAGCCAAAATTTAAGTAGTTGGGTTTTTGAAAAAACTGAAATGTGACATGGCTTCAGTATAAAGGGATGTTCCATTTATACAATAGTATATATGAAGTTCACAAACGTAAGCAAACCAAAATATATTTACTTGAGAAACAGTTTACTTCACTAAGAGTGAATGTCATTCAGGTAAGGATAAATTACCAGCTTGAGATTGATCCTCATAGAATATGAATCACTTGTTTGGCTTAGATGCTACTGTTCTCTGCACAGTAGAAACACCATCCACAAACATTGTCCGAAAAAGAATATTGGCATTATTGAACATGCCTTCTTTCAAAGAAACCACAATGAACTGCAGAACGATATAACAAAGAGAATATTGAATAAATGGTTATAACAAAATATCCAAAGGAAATATGGAAAATTGGCTGACATTTATCACGAATCAGTTACTAAATTTTTTGAAATGTGTGACAATTAGTGACTGAAAATAGCTGTTTTATTAACTTCTAGAAGCATGATTGTAGACTTACCAGTGAATATTTTCTGCTTCTGATAGCAGTAAAAACATTTTTGAACAAGTTGAATACATTCATAAAGAAACGAGAGTAAGAGGATGTTATCCATCAACATTCCCCACAGGAAACATCTTGGTTCTCTCCCACTAAAACTTGAGAAGTACATAAACATAATTTGACCATTAAGGGTGCAAGAAGAGCTGTAAATTAGGTTTGTACCCAATCTATCCACAACTAGCTAAACCATTTTAGGAAGAACTACCAAACTTTCAATTGTTTGAGAACTGACCGCAAGTTCATAGATTAAAAAAAAAGAAAAGAAATAAAAGTAGAGAACATCAGTGACCATGAGAGTGTATATCAAACTTGTGAATGTGGAAAGTGAGTTTTGATTATTCTTCCAATGTTCTGGGTGTGGCTTAGATCAAGAGCTGCATCAACCTGTCAAATGACGGTAGAAACAACAAAACTGAAAATGAGAGGGAGAGAGGATAAAATAAAGACGTCATATGTTACAACAAATCAAACTCATCTAATATCAGAATAACATGTATCTCTTATAGAGTGAACATATTAGAGATGAGACATGTCAACCACTATTTCTAGGAACTGAACAAGTTATGTACCTCATCCAGTATATAAAGTGGAGCTGGTTTAAGCAGAAGCAGTGCCAGAATTAGAGAAAGTGCAAGTAAAGATCTTTGTCCACCGCTAAGTTTTGACAAGGACTGTTTCCAAACACTTCCAAATGCAACACAAACCTCAAGACCATCTAAGAAGCTACTTCCCTCAGGCATTTCTAGCTTCGCCATTGTGCCAGGTAATAGTGTAGAAAATATGGATCCAAAATCACTAAGAGAAGTACAAATTCTTAAAGAGTAAGTACAGGGTTTCAATACTTTCAAAAGCTAGAAGAAATATATGATTACTGTTGACATAAACTACTAATTTTAACTTACTTGTTAAACCTTAACCCAAGTAACTTTCAGCATTTCTTTCTTCTTTTCATCAAGTTCTTCAATCACCATCTAGATTTTTGTCTTGTCATTCTATGCAAGATGAAGTCAGGACGAGTAAAGAGAT